TTCCCACTATGCAGTTTATCTATATAATAACACTGAACTCAACTATCAGGATTGAGCTTTGCACTGGATTCTTACTCATTAGTCATACCAACTCAGGGCACTGATTCAGGGGGGAGAGGAACAAACCTTACTTACCAGAATTGAATTTTTCAGCTTATCAAGGTTTACAACTTCGCAGCCAGCATAACATGGAGAAATGTATTCAGTCCCATCAGACCCACAAATAGGGTTAAAGGCTTTATCAGGGCATTGACATCTCTTGTTACATTCCAAAGAGTGTTGGTCAAATTCAGCACTAGGGAAAAGGAAAGATATGAATGTACACATTGAACATGTGCATACATGCATGATGCACTGTACCTGCATAGCTATTGGTAAGCAAAAAGTTGCTTGCTTAACAGTCAAAGTGTTTATTCATAGCCGCTGCCTAATCCACAGCAATTATAATTTTTGTAGATTAATTTAATCAAAAACATCCTCAAAAACCTGAAATTTGGGACATGAACAGGTAGGGAATTCAGCCAGTACATTCAGGACTCATCTTTCTGCTTCATTAACTACTGCCCCATCCAAGTGGAACGTAGTAGATGAAGACAACTGTTGGTCAATACATCAGTAACAAATAAAAATAAAAATATTGCCTATTTAGAAATGAATGTTTCAATTTTCCTGTCAGTAGTTTTCTCACTTTATTCTAACCTATAAGCATACTCTGCTTAGCATCAAAACTAATTCTTGTATTTTGCTTTATTGAAAAAGAAACTTAAGACAATAGAGTCTACCTCAAGCCTTCCCTACAGGTTCATGTGCAGTAGCAAATGAGTGCTCCTCCCTCAGATTTGGTCCTCTCAGGGCACATCTACATATGCATTAATGTGCCATACTTAAGGTGCATTAAGTTTAGTACCTGTAAGAACAGGTACTAACTCAATGCATAGTAACCGGCACTACTGCACAGTAGCACCAGTGCACGCCTTTTTAGTGATGCTAATGCCCAGTAGACTAAATCTACTGCACATTAGCGATGTGCTAATGCACAGTAGTATTAGTCTACTGTGCATTTAGCATCTTGCACCCTCAGTCTCCCCAAGGCCACTCCTGTCTCCTTCATATTTGGGTGTGGTAACGAGAGAGCTACTTCAATAAGGGGGGATTTGCAATGGCAATAGTGGGGTCCAGAGCTGATGGAGACAATGAATGTCTATCTCAGGGCCTGATCCAAATTCTATATAAGTCTGTGGGAAGCTACCTATATGGTGTTTAACAGGAGTGGGATCAAGGTTATGAAAACTCTACATTTCAGTCTGTAGGGAGGATGCCAAGAATTATCAACCACTGAATGGTGCTCTTCATTTTCCAGTCTGACTTTTTGATCCTCAATTAGTTGTGCTAAAAATCCATTAAACTTTAGTGACCTTCCCATGGCTAAATCTCCCATCGTCAGAATACTTATGAAAAACATGACCCCAAAGTCTGGAATGTGATCCATTCTGTTAATACATAAACACCTTCACTATCACTTCCAGTCTTATTCACCACCACCACTCATTTTATTAAAGAGCATGGGTTTTCATCCTGGTTGCTGTAACCAGTTTTTGTTTCATTTCTCAATTTCTGTCTAAAGTCTGTAGAACGTACCTGGAATAAAATGCTTTATAAATCAGCAAACATGTCAGAGTGCAAGACTTGTGTCTTAGCTATACTAAAACTATTAGTACCTTTCTACTGGATAAAGGCCAGCAACCTTCTGTGTTGGACACCCCAGGAAAAGGAGAGGAAAGGCAAAGAGGGTACAGAGGAGCATGCCAAAGACACACAGGGCGCCAGATTGTTTCAAAGATATCTGGAACTTCTTCATGATGGCTCCACCCAACACTATGCCAACCATTGCTCCAGGGATGTTCACAGCACCTGGGAAAAAGAAACACTGTCAAGAGATCCAAATACTAAGGAGAATACTTCAGTACCTACCAATTAAGGAGGTGCATATGAAATGTGGTGATTACATGGTTACCTGATAGGCTGTGAAGAGCAATTTGTAAATGACATCATGTCCAATGCTTGCCATAATGGGAGACCATGGTGGCTAAGCCATTAAGGTGTCCTGCCATAGCAGGATTTCAAGCCATTCCCTCAGCTCTATGTGGGAATCTGGACATTTGGGCTGGGGAATCAAAGGG